GCTGGCGCCATGGGGCAGTGGGGGAGCTGGGAGGGGGCATGTTCTGGGGGGACATGATGGGTGGGCAGCACTTCCCACGCTGACAGCCGGTGGACACCAGAACTCAGGACACACAGACAGAGCCAGCCCCAACCCTCCCGGCATGTCCACCAGCGCAAGATCACACTCCAGGTTCCCCCAGCTCCCCATCTCCATCCCAGTGGGGCAGAGCAAGGGCCTCCGAGGCACCACCATGCGCAGGGACCCAGCACGGCCTGGCCAGCTGGGGCAGAGGGGCGCCGTACCCCAATCGCCACGTTCAGGTCGGTCATAGTCACCTGCTTCGCCCGCTCCACGGCCTGGACCACCTGCTGCTGGTGCTGCCGGCAGAGGGGATGGTGGGTGCCCGGCAAGGCCGAGCAGCCCTGCCGCCCTCCCGCCAGGACTCACGGGGACGCAGCCCCTCCGCTGCTGGAATGGACCCGCTGCCCCGCGCGGCTCCTGTCCCCAGGGGTAGGGCACAAGTGCCCTTTCCTCTGGCCAGGGCCAGCGGGAGCCCGCCTGGGCTCACCCACCTCCTGAGACAGGAACGGGATGAGCTGGGCACAGATCACGTTGAGCCGCTTGGCGATCTCCGTCTGGAAGCAGAGGAAGAACACGGGATGTCAGAGGACAAGGGCAGCGCTGGCCCTGCGTGTAGCTCCCCATCCACGGGTTCAGGAGCTCCCAGCAGAGCTCCCCGCTGCCTCCCCAGCACCCGGCCAGGATGCACCAAGGGCGCTGGAGCTCATGCCCAGCAGCTCTGCTCAGTGCCAGGCACTGCAATGCCAGGACAGAGAAGCTCCTCGCTTCCCTCTGCCCCCTCGAGCCCTCTCTGTCCCGTCTGCTCTGAGCGCCCTGCACAAGTGACCTGCCCCAGCCCGCACCAGGGATGCGGACACCCACAGCACCACCACGGCACTGCCGGGCTCGCTGGGGAGCTCCGGAGAGGAGCCCCCCTCTTCTACAGCTGCTGCCGTCCCGCAGCACTTGAGAGCCCCGAGCAAGAAGGAGGAGGAGAGAGAGGCTGCTTAAAGAAGGCGGCAGCAAAGCCTGAGCTTCTCTGTGCCTGGATCCCTAGCCCAGCATCTGGAAAGTGACCGGGGAAGAGCAGAACGCAAGTGCCTCTGACCCCGGAGGGGCAGGACACTGCCCAAGCGCCTCCGAACCTGGGGAAGCGCGAGGAACAAACCAGGCCCGGCCACCCTCTGCAGCAGCCACCACGCTGCTTCCCAGGCTCGCAGGGAGAAACAGCCCAGCACCGCCCTCGCTTTCCCTCCAAGGGAGGAAAAAAGGGAAAGAAGAAAGAAGGGAAAAAAAAAAGCCAGCGAGATTTGGCAGGCAGCAGTTCTGGGAAGGATTTAGCTGTCTCCTGGGGCCAGCAGTGATGGATTCTCTTCCCTAATGCACTGATGGGCAGCAGCTCCTTGGGGAGAGCTGCCTCCAATTCACTCGCACTCGTTAATGTGCAATTTACTGGCACTTTAACGCTCTCAGCATGAAAAATGATCGTGCTGTTTGCTGCCCCACCCCCCCAGCCACCAGCACCGCCACCTCCCCTGCGGCTCGTGGCAAGCGAGCCCACGGCCAGGCAGACGCAGGGAGGTGGTTTTACAAAGAGCTGCAGGCCAGATCCACACCAAAAACAAAACAACAGTAAAAATTAACGTTTCTGGCCTGTTCCCACCCACAGCCTCCCCTGCTGAGCCCACGGCAGCCGCAACAGCTCCACGCAGAGCCCGGCTGCTCCAACACCATCCGTACTCCCCAGCGGACACAACCACCCCAGGGCGCCCGGCTCCGGCACAGAGAGCTGCAGGGACAGACGGGCTCTGTGGCCGGATGGGAGGACGGGTGCACGGTGCGAGCAAGAGGCCCTGACCTAGCGCATCCGCGGGGTTCCCGGCGCCGCTCGGGAATACGGGGCTGGGCAGGATCTCGGGAGAAGGGAGGCGTGCGGGCTGCGCGGCCGCCCCGCTGCCTGCACG